TCCTTTTATCGGGGTGGAGTTGGGATGACTGAATGGAGCTGAGTGTTTATTGGCCAGATGCCCTTCCTGATGCATATGTGGAGTTTGCTGCAGATATATTCTTTTTGTGCCCTGATAGAGAAACGTCTATCACTGTCTAGGATTGAACTCTCAACCTTGCAAGTGGGAGGCAAGAAAAAAGTAGAAGTGTAAAAAAGAAAAAATAGAAACATAAAAAAGAAAGAATAAATAAGAATAGAAGAAAAAATATGCAAAGAAATGATTTCCCACTTCATCACAAAGGATAAACAATTTAATAACTTATCGCCTTTTCTTAAAAAATAACAATTGCTTCTGCCCATATCCCATTTCTTATCTATAAATAAATTTAAAACTAGATGCAGTATTCCAAATGTGGTCTTTACCAAGGCATTATAAAGTGGTATTAACACTTCATGTGATCTCGAATCTATCCTTCTGTTAATACAGCCTAGAACTGTGTTGGCTTTTTTGGCAGCTGCAGCACACTGCTGGCTCATATTTAAGTGATTGTCCACTAGGATTCCAAGATCTCTCTCACAGTTACTACTACTGGTATAAGCCAGGTACCACCTATACTATACTTGTGCATTTGGTTTTTATTGCCTAAATAAATATGAGCCAAGGTGGCGCAGCAGTTAGAGTGCAGTACTGCAGGCCACTTTAGCTAACTGTGTTCAGCAGGTCAGCGGTTCAAATCTCACCGGCTCAAGGTTGACTCAGCCTTCCATCCTTCTGGGGTAGGTAAAATGAGGACCCAGATTGTTGGGGGCAATGTAAATATATATCTATACATTGCTTACTGGTGTACACCACTTAGAGAGTGCTTGCACTTAAAGCGGTATATAAGCCTCATAAATAAATAAATAAATGCAGAACCTTACTTTTTTTAACCATTGAATTTTATTTTGTTAGATAGCGTCCAATGTTCAAGTCTGTCAAGATCCTTTTGTATCGTGAGTTTATTTTCTGGAGTGTTGGCTATTCCAGAAATAGTGTCATCTGCAAATTTGATGAGTTCCCCATCTATCCTCTCATCCAAATCATTAATGAAGATGATGAAGAGTACTGGGCCTAGAACAGAGCCTTGGGGTACTCCACTGCAAATTTCCCTCCATATAGATGCAGTTCCATTGAGGACTGCCAGTTGAGTATGGTTGGTCAACCAGTTACAAATCCATCTGATGGTGATACTGTCTAATCCTCATTTTTCTATCTTATGAAGTAGTAGATTGTGGTCTACTTTATCAAATGCCTTACTGAAGTTCAAGTAAATTACATCCACAGCATTCCTCTGGTCCACTAATTTTGTCACTTTATCAAAGAATGCAGTAAGATTCCTCTGGCATGATCTGTTTTTGACAAAGCCATGTTGGCTTTTGATTATGACTTTGTTTGCCTCTAGGAATTTGCAACAGTATTGTGGTCTCCTGGCTAATGTAACTATGTCATACAATAATAATACTAAAGACATCAATCAGTTTCTTTTCTATGTTCAGTGAAAGATCTTTTCCCGTATCATACTTATAGCCTGTCATTTTTAAATCTACGTTTAGATCAGTCTCTATCTTGTCCTGTAAAATTTGTTCGTCTTCTATAAGATTCTAAAAGTGATCTTAGGCTCAATAGAAAAGTTTTATTTGGAAATGCCTATGCCTGCTGATTGTAAAGAAGGAACATAATCCTGCCTAGGGATTAATGTAGGACAAAATTTCCTAATAGTAAAAATTACTGTTACACTTTATATAAAGGACTTGTAGTCTGCTATCTAAAAAGATTCTCCATCAATGATGTAATTAAAATTTAAAAAGTTATCCTTGAAAACAATGACAACCAGACATTAAGAACATAGAATTTCGACAAAACTAGATCAGAAAATAATGATTTAAAACCCAAAGAAAAGTTTTCCTAGTTCAAATGATGCAAACTGAGCAAAATCTCAGGAGACTTCACAATCCAGGAAATGGAAATGCTCTCCCAACCAAGCCATACAATTAACTGTGACCTAACCACTTTCTTCAGAGACAGACAATCCTTAAAGTTTACAATGTCGTAAACATTGAAAGAAGGAAATACAGTCATGGCTAGCCTTGAGCACTTCTTATGAGATTCTGGCTAGCCAGTCTTCAGGTAAGCCTAGATTTTAAAAGTTTAGACTCTGTTCTATATTGAGATATGGTTACTCAAGAGAACTTGAAATTTTTCTTTCTAGATCAGGGGTCCCCAACCCTCAGTCCGTGGACCAGCATTAGGACGCAGCATGCCAGCAAATACATGAACAACATTAAAACACAAGTCTATCATAAAAAAGCAGTACTGTAAAAGAAGATGCATATGGTAGCTGTCCATCAACCCAAATGTCCTCTAGAACCATTCAAATTTTTCTAACATCAGGAAGGCCCTTAGGGACTATGACAGAAAATAACTATCTGTGAATCCATACCCACTTCACCCTTTAGTAATGGAAGAATATTGCTAGAAATTGGTAAGGGCTATGCATTGCACAGAATGTTTCTATGTAAAGAAGACAGTCTTCAGTTTATTTAGAAGCCAAGCCTTACAGAGTATTATTATATCTTAAAACTAATGATTTGAATTGTGCTGGAAACCTATTGCTCAGAACACTAGTTCTGTATGACTGGGGTAAATTAATCATCAATGAGTGAGATGCTGCATTTTGAACCAGTTGCAGTTTCTGAGTAGTCTTCAAGGGAGAGTCCCATGCAAAGAATATTATAGTAATCCAAGGAGGTTATGACAGAAGCATGAATCACAGCTGACTCTTTGCTCATGTACAAAAGGATCCTGAACTTACAGCTTTTTTAAACTTTTAGAATGGCAATTTTAAATTCAATTTAACAATTCAGATTTCAGTTCTGAGTTTGTGTTTTATTATATACTGCCAAGAAATCTCAGTCAACAGTATAATAAATTTTATAAATAAATGAATAAAATACAGCTTTGCTTGTGAGTGATGGACAGTACAACCCACTCACTTTCAATCACACAGATTTTTCATGCATTTAAAATAAACAGTAGTAAGAATAAAACTCAACTTATAATTTATATTATTTCATTCTAATATTAATGCCTGGTAACACTACCTGGTATGTACAATCAACTCTTTACAAGTTGTCTTATGATAGTAGGAAAATATGGTCTATATGAATTATTGGATGAATTGGTTTTCCATTATCACCTGCAAAAGGTGATAGCTCTCTGCCCCATATTTGTGTAACCTTCATCTTTCTTGTACAAAGACTTCTTCATACCTCTTCCAAGCATTTTTATTTCCTTCTATTCATTCTGATTTAGAGAAGTTAAATTTTTGATTTTGTAGAATTATGCAATGGTAGAGTTGGAAAGGACCACAGCAATTACCTACTTCAATCATCTGCAAAGTGCAGGAAAACCAATTAAGTCTTTCATAGGCAAACTTGCCTCCTGTTCAGTTCGGCAAGGCTTCAGTGGACCTGCGCAGACAAAATGTTGTCCACAAAGCCCAGAATGAATTTTAAGGATTCATTCATTCTAGCTATCCACCAAAACCATCTAACAATCACTGCAGGACTGTTCTTGGCAGTCATTAAACGGCCAGTTGTAAACAGAGGACTATGTATAATGAACAACACTAAGGCCTATTTTGAAATCCACAGCTCTTCTTTTTTTTGCCAACCAGTTATCTCTGGTCTCAACAAAGGATTTTCCAAGTGGATCCCGGTTTCACTCACATGCACACACATCTGATTTTTAGCAATGCATGTCTGAATGTTGCTACAAACTTTGTTGAAGTGTCTAACTGGCAAATTCCACAAATCCAAGTCCTACAAGCTACATTGCATCAATATCAAATATGGACTGGTGCCATGATCATTCCCAAGGCAGTAGAGCAGACATGTCAAATACAATGCCCGGGGCCCGGATGCAGCCCGCAAAATGGTTTCATGTGGCCCACAAAACCATCCTGGAAACATTGAGGGAACGGCCAGCCAGGAGCCAATGAACAATTTTGTGGTGGCCATCTTGGCACTTGCCCTGGTGTACCATGCCTTGGCACTTCCCCCGGTCCCACCCCCTTCTGCCAGAGACCCTCAGATCTGTCCCACTCCTGCCTAGCCCCCCCATAGGCACCCTTGACGCAAATGATGTAGAACTGGCCATGCCCACCCAGTAGCCACACCCACTCTGTTCACACCCACTCTGGCCAGAGACCCCCGCCCCTGCTGATGCGGTCCTCAGTGAAATTGAGTTTGACACCCCTGCAATAGAGGAACATCAAATCAAAACCAGTATCACATACAAAGGATACACCTGGTCTAGTGTATGAGGTGCAGGATAGTTCAAATTCTGTTACTAGCAACTCCAGGTAGTGCTGGGAAAACTCCAGCATAGAATCTGCAGATCCTTTGCTAATCACCACAAGGCTACACCAGACTCTGTGTAGTACAAGCAGCGTGTTCTTATGCACACAACCCCTGTGCTACAGAAGAAAGCTTCCTGCGTCCTGGGAGAAATCAAGGACTTGAGGAAGTACAGTAGCCTACTTAAACACGTGACCGCCAAAGGTTATGAATATATCCTTGCACACTGCCTCGCAAACAGAGGTATATATAAAAATGCAATCGGTTTGTTGGATCCACTAGCGTGGTTTTATGGCAAGTTGCTACTCGAGACAAAACATCTCCTTGTATTGAGAAAAGACCCGCCAGGTTTAAGGTGTAGAAATCCTCCCCGAGAGGGAAAGGAGAACGGTCATCATATACAATTTGGAAAGATTCCTGTGCGATCCCAAAGCCCACCATCCCATTCGTCGTTCTGAATCCTCTGTGGATTTCTGGGCTGCTTAATTATTGTCTACTCCCGACTTCTTGCCTCCGCCTTCTGTCGCCCAGACTTCTACTAAGAGACAGGGGAAGGCAAGAACTTTTGAATCGTAAGGAGGAAGAGGAAAAAGCCAAGCGGGGTGGGGTGGAAAGCCATACCTGAGTTTTTGTCCCGCCGGCACGGTGAGTTTATTGAGTTTCTCCATTCTCCCGTCCAAGTGGCCCTAATGAAGCGACAGCCAATCAGAAGGACATTGGCGAGCCGCCTAGTTCCTCGAGGTCGGGCAGGGAGAGGGCAGCGGCCGAAAGAGGCCGAAGCGATGAAGGATCCTCCTGCGCGGTTCCCCTGCGCCCGGGAGAAGCGACTCCGCGCGTCTTTCGGAGAAGCAAAACTTGATCAGGCGCCGGCCGGATTTCACGTTTCGGCTCCGTCATGTGACCGAGCCAGCTTGGCTACTAATAGGGTGTTTGTACAAACATGAAGATCCACACCTATTGGGTGTGTGAACCACCCCCGTCCTGGGCTGGGATTGATCTCTCAGCCTTTGGCATTTGAGTCGAATAGAGTCATGATTGTGGGGAGGTTCCTGTCTCCTTCCTGGGCTGGAAGGGAAGGCGATACCTTGATCCTGGAAGAGGTGGATTTAACCCTCTTGCCGGGACAGTCGTCTCCCGCAAACACCACCGGCAATCAGAAGAGCCCCTTTTTTTCCGGGAAAGCCCCCTCCCCATTCAGTATCTTTTGTATTCCAGGGATTGGCAACAAGCAATTCGGAAATTCCACCGGGATCTTCGGGCTGAAAAAACGTTGTAGAAGATGCTAATCTTGCTGCTGTGGATGAGCCTCAAGTGCTTCCCAGCCTTTCCCAAGCACTGCTTGGATTTCCAGGATTTCCAGCCTTGCTCCAGCCACCTTACCAGGAAGTGTAATCCGAATCCATTCGGAAATTACTGGCTTGGAGAAAGACACTGCTGTGTCCTAACCTTCCAAAGATGGTCAATTCTAAGGACTAGTCAAGAACACAAATGAAATCCTACGGATTTCAGCATTGGGAAGGATAGATGGGCATAAGGTTTGCTGGTTTTACAGCATTTCCTTGTTGTTACAGCAGTGTTTCTCAATTTTGGCCACTAAGAGATGTGCAGACTTCAACTCCCAGAAGTCCCCAGCCAGCAATGCTATGCTGTACTTTCTTGACATGTATCCATCTATAGGCCCTCCAGAGACTATAGAGGAACTGTTACATGTCACTCAGTTGGAGAGAAACCATTTGCCAAGAAGGACCCCTACAGGTTTTGGTGGATAGCTAGACTGAGCCTCAAAACTTGCTCTGGGCTTTGCTCAACACTTTGTCTGCACAGGTATACTGTCGCCTTGCCCTAGTCTAGTGTATAGGGAGCAAGTTTGCCTAGAAAAGGTTTAATTGGTTTTCCTGCATTTTGCAATTAGTGGAACTAGATGATCACTGTGGTACCTTACAACTCTACAGTTCTGTTATTTTACATTTAAAAAAATAATAACTTCTCTAAATCAGACTGAATAATAGGAAATAAAAATGCTTGGTGCAAAACCAGGAAAGATAATAATATACAGTACAGAGGGTCATCATCATTTGCAGGTGATTATGGAAAACCAATTCATTTTAGTAATTACCGTAGATCATATTTTCCTACTGTCAGAAGTCCAATTGGAAAGAATTGATCATAGTATAACTTGCCATACCAAATAAAATATGAAGAAACAGAAAATTAGAAAAAAGTGGGCTGGAGTGGGTAGAAATGGAAGAAGAAAGAGAAACAAACAAATGCTTGCTGAGGAATTCTGGGAGTTGAAGTCCGCACATCTTCAAGTGGCTGAGGTTGAGAAACACTATTACAGTAATTCTTATCTCTTCAGTGCACCACAATACATTCATAAAAATGATGTCTTTCCCCCCAGGGTGATGGAGCAGCAGCTAGGCTTTGAAACACAAAGCATTGTTCCTTTTTAATGAGCAAGAATAGCTCTAGGAACTAGAAAAGTGACAGAATACAGTATCTAGGAGTTGTGATAGCAGAAACAATAAAGGGACACGTAGCCTGACTTGTATGGGCACTGAATTTTTTCCCCTCAGTGATGCCGTATTTGAAATGGGTGCATATGCCTTGTCTCAGGTTTTAACATTTCAGTAACAAATCGGAGCAAAGGCCACATAAATTAAGAGTTTTGGAGAACTGTGCTTGTTGTTCATTAAACTTCTACTAGGGAGAGAGGATTCAAGTCCATGACCTTCATTTTCTCCAATCAGACAGTTTCTCTTTTTATTTTGAAAGGTTTGCACGTGGGTTTTTAAAAATTATTTCACCAGGTCTGCTGGAGTCTGCAGTAGAATAAAGCATCCAGCTAGAGAACAGATTATATTATTGCAGATGACAGGAAAACAATTGTATAATTTTGGAGCTAGTTTGGTGCAGTACTTAAGGCACCAGACTAAAAACTGGGAGACTGTGAGTTCTAGTCCCATATTGAGCACAAATCCAGATGGGAACCCTTGAGCCAATCAGTGTCTCTCAGCTCTAGGAAGGAGACAATGGCAAACCACTTCCAGGAAAAAAAAAAAACTTGTCTAGAAAACTGCACGGACTTGTCCAGGCAGGTGCCAGGAGTCAACACTGGCTCAAAACCACAAAAAGAAGAAATCTTGAATTTGCTTGTAAAGAATATAGCTATAAATAAGCACGGATGACATATTTTCCCTTGTATTTTTTATTTTACATGTTTATTTACTATTTGCAGGAAGTTTGGGGATTAGTTTGTGTTAGTATAAAAGGGAATTTAGAACTGGAATTAACCACCTACTTCTGAAATGGTGAAATCTTTTCTATTAACTATTTGTGTAGTATGTATGTATGTATGTGTGTGTGTGTGTGTGTGTGTGTGTATATATATATATATATATATATATATATATATACATATATATACATATATATACACACACACACACACATATATATATATAGTCAATGTATAGAGGCTAGACCTGGGTTAAAAGTACTTAGGTTTGCTGGGTCTTACTCAATGATTATTAAGTGATTGAAAAAATTTCTTCCACTTTCAAATGTGACTTTGATTCAGAAATCGTTAGAGAACATCAGATTGTGATGGGCTAATTTAGGAAGTTAGTAAATTAAATTATTTCCTAGATTTTAGTCTACAGTGCATTTGTTTGCATTGTACCTCAAATAAATACTGATCTCTTACATTTGGTTAATTATCAATGAAACTCATGGGCATCACCTTTTCACTGAATTAATCTATTTCCTGGAGCTCCACAATTCATTGAACCATAAGCTAACTGCATGAACTGGGTTGGCTAAAAATGTTCAAAGCCATTAAAAAGTTAATTAAAACCAGCCACATTTAACAAAACTTACTTTTGACCTATAAATGGATACTATATTTTATATAGCCATCAATAGTAAACCATCTTAAGCATTTGTTCTGAAGTTACTTAAATGTTCTAGAAAACTTATTGTTTTTCCTGGTGACCTCTTTGTTTCTACACACTCACAAACACTCTTGCAAATATTTTTTTCCTTCAATTAACTTGCTTATAACATACCTTTCAAATCGATAATGTTGTTGAAAAATGTAAAGTAAGAATGTGGATTTTATATTCAGTTCAATGCATGTGATCTTGTAATCCTAACCTTTAAAAGAATTGTAAGCAGCTGATGACTCTTGATTAACTACTCTTGTTTCTTAACTGGGGCACTATAAACAAAAATTACAAGTTGTAAACCATTTATGTTATTATAATGATAATGAGGGTTTTGTTTGCAGGCAGCCGTACTATGACAACTATTTCTCACACACAATGACACCCTGGTACCAGACTTGCATAAATACCAAACAGATGGAAACTGTCTTTCTTCCACAAAAGGTGATTGCTTGCTTCTAATCCCTTACATAGAATGCTCAGGCGAAAAGCACAACAACACTGATGCAGTGGTCAACTTATGACCACTTACTTAGTGAATGTTCAAAGTTACAATCATCCCCCAAAAGATACTTATGACCCAATTCCAAAGTTCCAACAGCCACGCCCCAGTAATCAAAGGATTGCATTTTGGGCAGTCCTGCAACCAGCTTGCAATTACAGCCATTTGTAGCATCCTACAGTCACCTGAATGTGATTTATGAAGTTTTTGCCCAAAACTGGTGTTCGCGTCCAGTTTTCAGAAAAAAAAGATCTATGGTGAATAATGGGTTTGCTTAAAAGTTTGGCATTTCTTTAGTGACTGTGGATTTGCTTAATGAGTGCTGTAAAGAAAAGGTGTAGTAAAATTGGGTTAGTCACATGGGTGACCCACTCTATGACTGCTACAATTTGTGACTAATGGGCAGTCTCCATTATGGTCATAAGTAAGGTGACCAACTTTTTTACAATGAAAAGGAGGACACAAATAAATTGAAGAAAAAATATCGTAAATAAAAGAAACATTTTATTCATTGCAACAATAATACAGACAACTTGCATGTGCAAAGTTTGCCAGCCAGGTGTTTTGGCGCGCTCAGCAGCAATTCCTATTGGCTTTCAAAAGCCAGTAGTGGGAGTAGCACAGCTCATGCAAAAGCTGAAAAAAAACCCATCAAAAAAGGTGCCGGAACGCCGTTCTGAGCGTTCTATGAGGGAAAAAAAAAAGCCCTACAGATTAGTCTTCAAATATCGAAAAGGAGGACATGAAGGAGGACACTTTTTGAGGGAGGACAGAACTTACAAAAGGAGGACTGTCCTCCCTAAAGGACGGTTGGTCACCTTATCATAAGTCAAGGATTATCTGTATAAGTAAAAGTTGTATTTGATATGCAAAACTTGCTGGAATTAGGAGTGGCTGGGTGGGTGAATGGCTTCTAGCTGTTCTAGAATAAATCAGAAGGCTTTGTATGTCTATGCGCCTGTTTATCTATTTCTAGTCCAGGCTGTTGGAAGGAAACTTGCCATTTGCCACTGTCTATCAAATTAACTAATCTCAGCCAAGAACTATGCTGCATTGCAAACTTCTATTTAACTAACAGGCACAGATGAAAACAGCACCTTCTCATGTCCTATCTTTCCATCTTCATGATTCACTTAGCAACTGTTAAAATAACAGTTAATTTCCCCTGAGAACAAAACCTCCAAATGAAGGCACACAACTTCTGCTTTTGAGTTTGTTTTGTTTTTCTATTATCTGTTTCTTGATACCAAAGGTAGCTTTTATTGTTGCCTTGCTATTTGATATGAAAGTAGGCCAGATGATGTTGGGGTAATCAGCTTGCCTCAGTTTGGCATCCTCCAATATGCTAGGCCCCCTCATTAGATAACATCCAACAACCTCTGAACTTTTATGGTATTCTAACTGGGGCTGAATGAAACACATCTGGAAGACATCTGGTTGAGGAAAGTTGTTTAGAGCAAAAGGATGGTCACAGCTGGACTACAAGTAATTCTTGAGAGTTCTTATTTAACCCAGATCAGAATCAGGGTTACATCTTTAATGTTATGCTGTTATGCTTGTGTCACCTCTTGTCTTGCAAAGTGGAATAGATTTCTAAACCTTTTACGTTATGTCACTCTAAGTTACTTTTTTAAAAAGGCTTACAAGATCTGTTGATTGATTCATGAATATAAGTCATAAA